AATTGTCTCTTGCCCAAGCTGCCCAGCAAGCAGGCACTAAAAGGTTTTGCAAATGCACAGTAGTAAGTTTTCCTTTTCAAAGCACCTCTGAGCTTCAACGAAACCACGCTGGCCGAACCTCGGACCACATTTTCTTCAGGAGGTTTAGTCATGCTGCAGGTATGTGGGTGACGGGTGTGTCATGCATTTCTGTGGAGGGACGGGGAGCAGGGATAAATTGTGAAGTGAATCTTGAGCGTACGAAAATACATCTGAAGAGCACGGGATGATTGCTCTCTGAAAGTCAATAGCAGTGCTCCCCTCGTGAGCAGCATCAGCCAGGTTTCAGCAGGCCACTGACTAAAGCTTGAAATTAATTTTGTCCTGTTTCATCTAGTCAGCTTTAAATAAAAATACATGCAAATGACTACTGACTTTTGGCAGGTGCAGGGAAGGACAGGATGAAGCAGACAATTAGCTCCAATGCAAAACACTGACAATATATATATTTACACTTGAAATCGGTGGCTCGCTTGCACTTTCCACCGGTAATTATACAACGTTGGCTCCTCTTCTGCAGTTCAGGTTGGATAAGCTGCGGATGAAAAATGCCTTGTGTGGGTGGCAAAGCATGACAAGGGCATGGGCAGGGACCTTGTAATTCCTGTATTTCCATCCTCGATTTGGTCCGGTCTGAATCATTCCTGTCTCCAAATTAGCTGCCTACAGATGCATAACACTATCACACTAAGCATGCCAGCCATCTGACATGGGTGGAGGGGTAGATGGATGGGTTGACATCAGCACCATAAAAGTGACGCTGTTGGAAAAATAACCTCAGCACAAAGAACAAAGTGAACCACAAAAATGCCTTGTCCATTGAATCAGGCAGAGAACAGAAAAATGCCAGATCGGAGCTGATGTCCTCCACCAAGTCCTGAATCCTGGTCTGTGGCATGCACTTACATCTTCATTAGTAAATTAAGCACTGCCAGGATCCATTCTGGCCATGAAGCCAACTGACAAGTGCTGGCTGCATCCACACTACTAAGCTCTTTCACCCCCGATACAGAGCGGCTGCATCCAAACTGCCGATTGGGGATGGTCTCTGGCCAGCGTCAACGCCTGTGCAAGCTGTGCACAAGCCCAGGGCTCGTCGGAGTCGGTAAAAACCATGCCAGGGAAGGTTCGAACAATATAACAGTGGGGATGGTGGAGCCCTCATGCCCTGGCTTTGTCCTGGCGTGGCATAGTTGGCTGGTTTAGATGATCCCAGGGTGAATCCAGCAGCACAAACGTGCCAGAGAATTTGCCCACTGATCTTCTGATGGGAGTAAATACGGACTCAGCCTTCTCCATGACAGTTTGAAAGATGCTTCATGCAGTATCTTTTGGCAAGAAGGTGGAACATGGTATAACTAAGCTACCAGTGAGAAGCTGAGGCCTTAAAAACCAAGTGAAATCAAAATCATCACCGACCATCCTGCCAAAGTTCACACCGAAAATCAAAGAGATGCTGGGCAAAAAAACCCCCAGGAGGCGAGGACTAGACTCTTAGCCTTGGGATTAGTACCAATAAAGAGCTGAGGGTAATTTTCCTCCCCCAGCTTTTGGCTTGGCAAAAGGCGCTGTTTGGCAACAAGATCACAGATAATCCCAAGAGGAAATGGTCACCACACCAAACTGTCCACCATGAACTCGTTGGGTGTAGTGGTAGAGCACGTGCTTTACATTAAGGCTGTAATGAAGTCCTTCAAAGAGAAATAGTTCCTCAGGGTTGACACAGGCTCTCACTGGAAATCTTTTGCTAAATCAAGATGCCAGTGGGTATCATTCAAAGAAAGAACTAATAGCAGAGGCAGAAAGTTTATGCAACTAAGCGCAATGAAACAGTTTTAACAAGCATTGGAGGCACCTGCCTTCATTGTTATCCATACAACGAGCCATGAAGGAGGACTTTGGAGCAGGGGTGTGTCAAGCCCTTAGTCAAGCTGGTTTGGTTGTGAGAAATTAGCACTGTATTGAGAGGTAAGGTCACTTCTAGAGTGTTTTGCCCCTCCGCTCCTGTAACAGGACAGAGGGGACGGCTGTTGGTGTGGTGGTCTGGAGCAAGGGTCCCGTTCCTGAGGGAAGGCAGGCTGCAGATGCTCATGAGAGGCAACACTGAAGAGTCTCCTCCTTGACTCCTGATGAGTGTGCCTCGGCTCGTTGACTCATTTCACTCTCCTGGTGCGAAGCGGCAGGGTCCGGCTGTTCAGTGGGGCCAGAGAATGGAATCACATCTCCAAACCAGACCTCAAGGTTGACAGGTTCAGGGAGGGGGACCTGCTCTTGGTGCTTTTGGAAATGAGGATGCTATCACTTGGAGGAAAGGTCCCAGAGGAACAGAAAGGTTGTTTGTCATCCATTCCTTTCTCATGCTTATGCCAATGAAATGCAGATGTGTAGAGGAGAGGTCTTCACGGATGACAGTCTTCACACAGGCCATGAGTCTCAGGGAACTGGATCGGAGTAAATCTACACTAGTATCAAAGGGAAGTCAAAAGAAAATCCTGTTGCTGGAGGATGGACACCTCTGTGTTTTTATGACCCAGTAGCTGGGGACAGCAAGTTCACTTCACAAATTACCTCTTTTTATGGAGACAGCATACCAGTTAGGGAAGAAACAGGGTGAAATGTTAGTAGGACACTTAGAATCATAGAATGGTGTAGGTTGGAAAGGACCTTAAAGATCATCGAGTTCCAACCTGAGAAGGGACTTGACAAGGGACCGGTTATGTGACACAGACAATGGAGGAAGGAAATGAAAGCTTTTTGCAAATATTTATGTGTGTGTGTGTGTGTGTGTATTTATGTACACAATAAATGAGGGACTGGGAATTTAGATAGGGAATGACAAGACAAAATCCCTCCCTTTGCGTGAAAATGTGACCATCATATCGGTTGTAATCAGAGCCCAGAAACATTTGCCTGAAATGGAGTTTGACTGGGAATTACAGTACCAGTGACAATTTGGCTTCTTTTAAACTTTGCCGTGTGTCTATAGTTTGGCGTGAATGAGTCCTGCCCTCCTTAAAAGGGACAGACACCAGTTAAAAGTTTTCTTTACAAAACAAAATGAAACAACTGAAGAAACCCCGACATTTTCTCAGAACACTGCAAAGGATCACTGATTGAAAAAAATGTTTCTCTTCAGGTATATTCAGGCGAAGAAAGCATTCAGCTTCTTTAAACTGTTATATAAAATTGGTACTAGTTTCTTTAAATACTATTATAATTAAAAAAACCAACCGATTCCTCAAATTAAAAAAAAAATCATAATCATAATTAAAAAATATCCCCCCCCATGCTGATCTTCTTTTCAGAATAGGTCAGCATGGGAGTTTTGCACCCTAGACAGTTACAGTATTTCTGGAATAAAAAATTGCAATTGCACACAGAAAATACTACAGCATTCACTTAAAAATATCTCATGTTGCTGTTGGGTTTTTTTTTCCCCTCCCAAGTAGAGGGATGGTGGGATTGAAAAGATGCCCTGAAACGGGAATATTCCTTTAAAGGAGCAATACTCTCGAAAAGGAAAAGGGTGTTAGATAAGACGCAAACCCGTGATTTAACTCGAAACAAGAGATTCCAGCACAGAAACAGAATTCGAGAGATGTGAATGTTCAGACACCGAGTGGGTTATTTGGAAATGTCAAGACAACCACACAACCCTCGGCAGGTGACCGTCTAGGCTTTGCCATCATCGGAGGTGGCAGCATCTCCTTGCGGTGAGAAGGCTAAGCTAAACCACGATGCTCTGGCTACGCTCTTGAATTTCCTCTGGTGGTGTTTCTCGCCATGTACTTACAGTAGAGGGTGACACGAGACAGTTTTTATCAGCAGTTCCCCACATGTACCGAGTTGAAGAATTCTCAGCTAAATCACAACAACAACATCAACAAAAATACAAAGCACCAAATCATCTCAAGACGTGAGTCAGTTAACAGGTTATTACCGTTTGAAGAAGTTTGTTGGTTGTTTTGTTGTTGTTTGTTTGCTTTTTTTTTTTTTAATCCCAATTTTCATGTTTTGTTTTCCTTAAAAACAAAACAAAACAAAACAAAAATCAAAACCCAAAAACCCCAAAATGGAACGAAGGATGCTTTACAATCACTTTAAGGCTCGCACTGAATGAGACATGACAGGTCTTACACGAGATTACAAATAATACATGTATGCCTTTCACAGCCTTAAAATGATACAGTAGGTCAAATTATTTTGCCAGTCACTGATCAAGTATTGTGCCTTTAAATTGACTCGCTTTTTGCTACTATGCTGAGTTTTATTATTACTGAAAGAGTTATTAGATATGCGTAAATGTACTTTAGTATAATGTTTTTGGTATATAATTTCAACGTTGGCGGATTTCTTATTTTCCAGAAATCAAGGTGGCAGGCCTTATTCTGGGCTCAGACGGTTGTTATTGACTCCACTGAGGACAGTGGCGCTTTAGCGTGTGCAATTGTTCGAAACAAGATCAGATACTGTATTACCACATTAATCTGGTGCAAAGCGGCCAGCGCGCGTGGCACGCTCGCACCAGGAAAGCGGTTGGGCGGTGGGATGGCGTTTATAACCCAACTCGGTCAAGGCTCGCCGCCTTGGCCAAATGGCGTTATAAATGCGTTGCCAAATTGAGTTACAGACCTGATTTTGTCTTTCAATTGTTGGGAAAAATCAAACTCCATTGGGGGTGTCTCGGCTTTGCTTTCTTATCTTTAGACATTTGGGGTTTTTTTCTGCTAAATCCAATAAGAGCGACAAGATTGTTTTTCATACATTTCTCTCTTTTTGTTGTTGTTGTTAATTTATTTTTTTTTTTAATTTTAAGGTTTGTATTTCAGTTGGTTGTGTTTTTTTTTTTCCTGGCTCATCAAAGAGTTTTGCATGAGAAAGGTGACAGTACTTAATGAAACTCAGCACCTAAGGGCATAAGGCAGTTGTAGGTTTGTTTGTTTGTTTTTTTTATTTTTCAATCAGCACCAATCCCATAAATAATGTTCTACACTTGGTGTACGGTATAAAACTGATGTGGAGATGCCTCCTTCTCCACCTGTGAATCCTAGGTGTGGAAGTTGAAATACTGTTTCTTGTGTGTAAAAAACAAAAGAAAAGTTTTTCTTTTTGTTTTTACTTACAAAACATAGAGAATATCTTTTTTTTTTTTCTTTTTATACATACAGCAACCAGAAAGAAAGCTTATCTGAAGGTTTGTGTTTGTTTCATGATCTGTGTTTACCGTAAACAAAAATAAGGTCCCCTCTTTTACTTTTGCTTTAAGGAGCTTTTAAAGTGAAGATTCATATTGTAGCAACTCATATAAGAGAGGTCCATCTCTATACCTAATACCTACAGCTGTGGGGGTGACATACTGGAGGATGTTGATAGTTCTTCTTAACCTCCTGTCTACAAAATGAGCATCCCATGCCGGATATCTTTTTCTTGGGATGTCAATCTTAATGAGAGGCCCCTCTGGGGGGTAGGGTCGCCCAGATGGAGTAGATGGTACCATTGCTCTCACCTGGAAAACGGGCAAGCAAGTGTCAGCTGTGAGTTCCTCCTGTTGCTCCGTGACCGCTCTGGTGGGCGTAGCCTGGGCCCCCCGGTACCCAGGGGTTTGGGGTGCCATGGGCTCAACATCGGGGGGCAAAGGAATGCCCCAGAGCAGCTCGGCGCAACAGGAGCTGGCAAAGATCTTAGCTCTTGGCCCCATGGGATGCAGCACACCATAATATAACAGCATCAAAGCTATCCCAGCAGCAAAGCTAAGAAAGACACAACACAGTGCTGGCACGGCATATGAGTCAGTAGTGTCAGGATCTCTGTAAAAATACCAAAGGAGCGTCAAGGCAGCGTTCTCCGTCAGGACTACCGTGTAATACGCAAACATTCTGTATCGAGTCCGCCCTTCCTTGACATTAAACCAGCAGAAAATGTACACAATCCCTACCACCATGTTGAAGAGGATCTCCTCCCACTTAGACATGCAGAAATCTGTCCCACCATGGATGATCCAGAAAGCCATGGCACACCAATGGACCACTACAAAGATCCCAAAGTAGAGCTGGAAGATGGAAGCAAAGAGAGCAAAAGAAATAACTCGGGATGAGATGGTGAAGAGGCGCCAGAAGAGATGGATGAGGGCCCCTCTGTAGCTCATACTCTTCTTGTCGTCCCTAGAGTCCCGAAGAAGCTTGTGATAGGAGGCTAGCACCCAAGCCAGGGACATCAGGGAGGCCACAGAGGACACACCTGCCGGAAGACACACAGATCCACTGAGTTAGACAGGAGGTTTGGTTGAAAACATCATCTGCTCACTAAATTATTGCATCTGGGGCAGGCTCAGTAGCCCAAAGGTTCAACTCACGTCAGGTTGTCCTTACAGTCTAGAGGAGAGAAACACAGAAATATCAGTGTGGGAATTGGAAACGATCCTGTATTCAGGAATTCTCTGACACAGCACATTATGCTCATCTTCATGAGCTGTTGGCTCTGCCACCCCACCCCAGCTCTTCTCTTCTTACAGGGAACAGCCTCTGTCCTCATCCTTATTAGATCCACATTTGAGAATTTGAAATCCAGATCCCGCCTAAACGCTGCAGCCCAAGAGTGAAGGGTACTTTCTGTAGAAAGGGGTCTATCTTCGAGTGCACCATTGCAAGAGCAGGACATCTATATTCCTTGTAACTACATGGATCTTTTTTATTCTAAAATTCTTTCATACAAGGAACATTCACATTGACTTTTACTTGATTCTGCCTTAATCGGGAATCCCCATTTGCATTTGCCTTTGGGAATAATGGGCAGTTGGTCAGTTTTTTTGTCACCCCGTGGTCCCATGCAGATGAATATAAAATACAGGGAACATCATGATTCATCAATACCCTCAAATGGTCCCAAACCAAAGAATCTGATCCCTCCAGCAACTCCCCTGCCCCGGTTCCAGAATGGACTGAAGATATATACAGCAGGTAGCTTATCTCCAGCCTTGTCTCCTGGGTGGACCACAGATCCAAGTGGCAGTCATGTCTCCAGCCCCATCTCCAGCCCTGTCTCACTCTGCTTCTGGTGGGGCTCCCTGGAGGGACCTTGGATCTGGACCACCCCCTCGCCTTGTCTGGGACTGCTGAGGGACACACTACCAGCACGCAGCTCTGCCCGGTGCACTCAAACCCTGCGGCACTGCTCCATCAGTGAGGGCATCATCTGCCCTGGCGTCACCCTCGGTTCCCAACTGATCCCCCTGCTCCCTGGCATGGGGCAGGCACCCCATGATATTCCAAAGGGGCCTCATCTTATTCCCCATCACAACCAACACTTAAACTATTTATTTCATCCAATGGATAAAATAGTGCCCCGCTGCAGTTCAGGAGCTTTTAAAAATACAATACCGTTGATTATCGCAAAGGTAAATCAAACAACTCATTGAGCAAAGCATCATAATAAAAATTAATTGACAGATTCCTGGGAAAATAAAAGGCCACTGGCATCTCATTCCTTCGCTCCCACTGCTGCTCACTGGACAACAGCTCTGCAGGTGAGGGAAGAAGTGATGGACTAAGACCCATGTTTGGGAAGCTAAATAATTTGGTAGCTATACTTTGATTTGGCCTTTGCCAAAGATTTCTCTGGGAGCACCGCCTATGAAGTCTAAAGGAAAAATGCTAATGGTTTCAAGCAAAACAAACAATAACAAAAGCCCCTCCATCCCTGATGTGTGACGTACCAGAAAACAAGTCCAGCTCTATTTTGCTTTTACCACTTTAAGAAAACCCAAGGAGCATCTTGCTGCAGCTGGTCAGGGTTAAAAAGCTAAAATGTCTGAAAACCCTAAATTTCTTCTTCTTCTGTTTCCTTCTCACTTTTCCCTCTGCCCACAAGGACCCAGCTCCCGTGGGGATGGAAGGAAGATCCACTGGCTCTTCAGACCTCACTCTGGAGACTTTATCTTCTTCTTTTTGAGGAGCCCACCCCACAGCGCAGTGGGGTTAGATTTCCTCCCTTCCAGCCTAGCTATGTCTTGAGCAGAGGTGCTGGAGAAGGTGGCCAGGAAGGACGGCAGACCTCCATCTCTGCTCCTCATTGAAATTCTCCCAGCCTGCAGGTCAAACAAAACTATGCCTTTCCACCAGCTCTCAAGTCTCTCTCTTAATACCTCGCCTTCTGGCTCACACGTGCATTAGCATTCCAGACCAAATTTTAAAAAACAACAAACCACAAACCAGTAAGATCAATGGCCTTTTCAAAGAGGGAAGCATTAGGCCACCATCATTAAGAACAAACACAATTTTCCCCAAGTTCTAAGTCCTCGATAGGAAACACTTGCATATACGACTTGGGGACTCTAATGGATGGAAACTTCTGAAAGTGAACAGCCTCAGCCCCAAACAGCTGTAGATTAGATTTATTTTTAACCTACCAGATGTGTTACATTCTTGGCAGACATAGCGGTGTTGGAAGGCTGAGCAATACCCCACAATTTTTAAGGTAAGTGATGCTATGCTGTTTGTTGCAGTATCTTCTGGCTATTCAGTTTAAAAACTTCCCATGATCAGCAGAAAGAAAAAGTCATGTATTGTCTTATTTTAGTGCTGTTATAGTAGAAACTTGTACGGCATTAGATGTACCTGCATACTGAAACTCAAGCAGCGCCAACCCACAAGAGACAGATGTGTCACACTGGCTTAAAAATGTTTCTGTTGGGTTCATTTATTCTAGAACGGAGAGAGGAATAAAATACACCAGAAACAAAACCCCGGTGTACACATAAAGGCTTTTCCCACCGTAACGTTTGCAGTGCAGAAGCCTACACTAATCACAGCCTTTGCTGTAAATTGCAACAAGGCTGGCTGAGAGTGTGTGTGTTGAGTCACTCACATTGCACGGTACCACGCCTGCTGATAGTCATCTGAACGTCTCCTCGAGTCAACAGAGAGAGGCAGACACCCCCAGAAAGTGATTCACCCTGTCCTAAGATCCACGTGTGGGACAAAGGGGTGGTTGACTCACGCTCCCAAAGTGTCTGTCTCCATCCCTTGACAGGGGAATGAGAGGACTTGAGAAGACCAGCAGTCAGGCGGGATGAGTCCTACCCTTGCAAAACAGTTCGTTGCCTCCTCATTTGCACTGAGATCCGAGGAAGGGGGGAAATGAAGTATCTCTAGACATTGTGACATATTCCTGCCATCGTTTAAAAATTCACAACGCTGTGGCAAATGCAAACTTTGGCATTCTGGTGATGAGCTGGATCTGAACCTCGGTGTCAGGGGGGTGCGATCAGTAGGTGGACGTCAACAGGTACCATGGAGCAACATGAAGATTTCTGCAGTACTTACTGTGTTGCCACAGAAATTATTCCCTGGCTATTTCATACAGAGCTAAATGACAAAGCACGCCTTGGCTTTTGTCATCTTGACCATGAATTTCTTATTCCCATCTTTCCCTGTTCCTTCTAGCCTGTGAAATCTTAATACAATGTACAATTCTCACAGATTGTGGGATAAGTTTTCCCCTTCTTTACCACTTCTGCAGGCCTTTTTTCTAAGCAACTATAGAGAGCTCTCCAATTATAACTAGAACAAAAAGTCCTGATAAGTTGGATCACATGGGACGCATTTTTTTATTTGGATTTTGACTTTTGCACATGGTGACTGACGCACCTTCATCTGGCATGAGTGGGTTTCAACTCCCTTCCAAGGTTTGTTTATTAAAGGGTTGGGGCTGGTTTAAAACTGAAGTCACTTCAATAAACCCACTCCCACTCCTCCCACTCTGTGCTTAGTCTTGGGAGTGGAAAATACCCACCACGCACTGACACATCTGTGTGGGCACTCATGTGGACATCATCTACCATGGGGCTGGAAGCATGGCTGCATCTGTGGGATCTGCATCCCACCAGCCTGTAACAAGTCTGAGTGGCATTGACTGGGGTTATCTTCAGACTCTCTGTACCAGGCTCTGCAACAGCCCTCGGACTCCTCCCGTCACCTGCTAGAAAGCAACCAGTGACTCACAGGCCGTAGTCAGCATCATTGAGGAGTCAAGCCCATGTGTTTTGAATGACACATCACAAGAATGAGCTCCCCAAGTCTTTTTAGTAATGTGTCCTGAAGTCCTTATGGTGAGACATCTCCTAACATACATTCAGCACGGTGAGGGAGAGCTCTTTAATGTCCCCATTTGACAGAAGAAGCACTGAGATTTGAAGGATTTATCCAAGGTCTCATATAAAAACCATGCTATAGCAGGGAATAGATCTCCCTCACATCACAGTGCACCTTGCCGAGGCATTTCAGACAGGACTCAACTCCTACTGTAGAGATTCACCTCGGGGTGTCCGTGGGTGAGTGATGTCTCTTTACTTTACTCAATGGAGAATTAAGACTTACTGCAACCAGCGCAGATGGGAATCCAGCAACATTTGAGATGCTCTAGGATATCCCAGACCTCCATGTGGAGCTGGCAGATGTGACAAGCTTGCATACAGAAGACAATAAGATTTTTGAGCTGGGAGCTGGAGGGAGGCAGGGTACTCAGGGCATCTCAAATGACACCATGCAAAAGTCAATCAAAGTGTTTCTGTAGTCATTACGGCCAGTGCGGCCATGCTGTATGAAAGTCGCCATTTAGACCCGGTGGTTGTATTGCCTACATCTCCACTGAATACAAGGGAAGCTTGGACACCCCCATCCCGTGGAGACACCCCCATTGGAAACACCTTTGTTTAGGTGTCTGAATCTGGAGCTGAGCTCGCCCATCATCTTGAACTGCCTTGACGCTGACTTCTTGCCTTAGCAATTCTGCCTTTCTCAGGGGGAGCTAATGAACAGCCCTCAGCGGTAAACACACGGGGTACGGAGACTAAGCAACGGTAATTGGTGAAGAGAAATGAGAAAGCAGTAGGAGATCAGGCAGCTACATAAAAGGTTAAACTTCCCGAGAAGAGAGTTGGACCAAGGAATAGAGTGCCTGAGAAGGGGAAACAAGAGCCATTGCTTGGGACCACAAAAACATGAGTGGACTAGAGTACAACGCAGGTAATGATCTGACGCCAGAGGAGAGGAGCATGAACCACTGAGCTCAAGGGAAGCTCCTGAAGCCTTGCTGAAGCTCGCAAGGGCTGGCTGAATTTCAGCCTGTTTCGGTTTTCATCCTCTAGTTCCTACTGATGGCTCAGAAAAGGAAAAAGCCATCTCAGAAATACAACGAGGGTCTTTGAAAAATCCACATCCAAAAGACAGACTCAAAACAAT